ACAGGCGTGAGCCACCGTGCCCAACCAGGACATTATGTTTTTAAAAAGCATGTGGGCCCATGCACCACCTCAAAAGTTTCCATATGCTCAATGGGTACACATACCTCAGTTTCAATACCAATGTACTAAGCAAACCATGAAAATTATCTCATTTCACATTGTGCACTAAAGGATTAACTTTACCCCAGAGAAGTTTGGCCTTTGCCCTCAGTTCCTTTGAGGCAACCTCTAAACCCTTGGAATATCCTGCTGGATTAAGAGTGTCTTTGCTTACCTGAGTTGTCTGGGCCATGCCAGACAGTCTATGCTAATAATGTAATTTATGGTGGGGTTCCTTGGACCACATGGGATTAGTTTGACCTCTGGAGGGGCGGGAGACTGAGTTCAGCCACATAAGCAGTCAATCTTATTATATACGTTAACTGATAGCCAATAAAAGGGTATCCTGGACACCAAAGCTTAGGTGAGGGGCAATAATGGTGGCAATAGTTGGCAATAATAATAAAAAGGTGTATATATGAGGATGATATGACAAATTTCAAATCTACAAACCTAACAACAGAGCTTCAAAACATATGAAGCAAAAATAGAGAGTCAGAGTGAAATAGGCAATTCAACAATAGTTGAAGACTTCAATACCCTCTTCTCAATAATAAAGAAAACAGTCAACAAGGATATAGAAAACTTGAAAAACAAAATCAATCGACTTGACTTAACTCACATTTCGTTAACATTATACTCAACAGCAGCAAAATATACAGTCTTTTCAAGGGTACATGGAACATTCTTCAGGAAAGACTATATGCTAGGATTGTAAAACAAGTGTCAATAAATTCAAAATATATCTCCCAACCACAATAACTGAATTACAAATCAACTTTAGAATGAAATTAAGGAAATACCCAATTATTTATAGATTAAACAGCACATTTCTGAATAACCATGTTTAAAAAGAAAATCATATGGGAAGTTGGACAATATTTTGAACTGACTGGAAACAAAAACACAACGCAGGCGGGGCGCGGTGGCTCACGCCTGTAATCCTAGCACTCTGGGAG